GGGGGTCTTAGACAATTTTGACTGTATTCACAATTTTTGAACTGAGAAAAAGTGACTTTTTTTAAAACGGCTCCAATGCATTTATGTAATTATTCTATATGAATTCACAACACTGCAGAGGAGATCTAAGACAGTTTAGTGATAAATAAAAAGAATTAATTAATAAGTTGTTGCTTGGAGCCAGGACCTAGATCGTCCAGAGATCACTTGTCCACCCCCACCCCCCACCCGCCACTTGGCATACACTACATGTTACCACATAATATCTCAGGTATTCAACTTCATCTTTAACAAACAACACGAAGAACTGAATGAAAACAGATGCTTTTTATTACAACACATTACTCATTTTTTAAAAAATATATCATAGTGTGACAAAACAGCCACTCACAGAGTGGAAATGGATTTCCATATGGACATAAAAGGTGTAGAGCAACAAAACAAAAATTTGACAAAACTTACCAAACTGGGGGGAAAATGCCTTTTTCTTCAATTTCATTATTTTGACGAGCACATGATTTCACCATGATGCCTCACATCTTTATCATCTCTTATCTTTTGATTCACCTGATATTTTACCATTACCAATATACCCTCATCATCATCATCATCAGTCCTAATAGCAGAAGATGAAGAACACCAACAGAATTTATCAAATGTCATGGTACAAGAGAGTGACAACATGTCAACATGGGCTTAAGCCTAAACATCAAGAAAACCGAAACAATGGTGATAAGCAGAAAAACTGCAACCCTTACAGGCAACATCAAAATCAATGATACCACTCTCAAGCAAGTACAACATTTTAAATATTTGGGGACCATTAAATCATCAGATAGGAGATGTCATACCGAAATTAAAAGCCACTTTGCCCAGGAAAAGCAACCTTCCACAAAATGAAACAGATACTCACAAACATCAATCTGTCACTGGAAACAAGAAAAAGATTACTGAAAAGTTACATCGAGCCAGTCCTATTATATGGGTGCGAAGCATGGACAATCAATAAACAGCTGGAAAGAACAATTGTCGCGACAGAGTTGTGGTTCATAAGACGCATGCTACGTATCACATGGACAGCTAGAAAAACAAATTAAGAAGCAAATTGCAGAAGACAGCTTATGACAAATATACGAAAGCGACAGGCAAATTTCTTCGGACACACAATGCGGAAAGAAGCATTGGATATTGTAACAACAGGCAAGTTAGATGGAAAAGGAGGCAGAGGCAGACAGAGGGAAAAGATACTGGACAAGATGACAACATGGCTAGGAGCAGCAAGACCAACAGACACCACTGCTGCAACGCAAGACAGAGTGAAATGGAGGTCCATGATCGCCCACGCCAGTCGGCAAGGCTCCAGATGATGATGGTCTTTTGATTCGCCTGATATTTTACCACGACCAATATACCCTCCTTCCTCTAAAAAATCAACTGATGACAACTACTAGGAATCAACCATCAGTCTCTGTCATGTCTCCTCTTTCTACTGTCATGATGTGGGAACCTGTGTCTCTGGTTAGTTCTCTCCTTGGTCTTGCAGCTGTCACAACTGCCTCCACGCGAGTGTTTCTCTCTTTTCTCCTCCCGGTGGTCTTGTCTTTGCTTTCTCTTCAACTCCTCGTCCTCTTCCTCTGAGTCCCTTCCCTCTCTCTTCTTGTGTTGGTAAGACGACCGTTGCGACTTCTTCACTTTGTGAAATGTGGCCTTTCGTACCGGCGACCATCTGAAAAAGATAAGAGGACAGTAGGGATTTAGTAAGATAAGTGCTTGCATTTTAAAAGCAACACAATTGTTTTGTTTGAGTAAAGAGAAGCATATGACATAATAATAGTCATCTAGTGCTGTGAAAAAGTAAGACAGAGAGACAGAAACAAAAAAGGAAAAGTATAGAAGAATGACCAACAAATAGCACCCTTCAACCAAGGCTGTACAGTAGAATACGGCTATAGCAGGACATTTGGTTCCAGAAGAAAAATCCAGCTGCAGGCAAGTTCCCGTTATAGGAATGCAAAGGGGAAATTACCTAAAAAAAAATTTAATCCACATGATTCCCTCCCTTCCATATTAATAAAATTTGCGCTTTAGATTAGTCTTCCTTTTCTTCTCAACTTTGTTCATTATCTCGGCTTTTAATTCGAGTGGGAAGCATTTCCTTTTGTCTTTCTTGGAAGCCATCTCTTCCTCGGTCTCGTTCCTTGTACTGTCTATCGTACCAGTTGGCCTACAGTGGATGCGTGCGTATGCCTATGAGCACCAACAATTGCAATTCAATGAATCGGGAACCACACACTACACGCTCTCCTCTTCTTTTATGTTTTAGCCTAGCATAGACCTAGGGCTATGGCCTGTACGCTCTCATACAGTGTGTCTAAGCTACAGCACGTCACTTTTGGAGTGGCTCAAGAAACGCGTCTCTCTGCACCATCTCTCTCTGCTGCCTGCCCCACCTCACTAATCACTGGACTGGCCAATTACAACACCACACCACTGACTGCCTGTTCAGAGCCCGCCTTACAGCCCCCCCCCCCCCAAACCCCTTCACCCCAGCTAGAGATTTTTCTTTCTCTCCCGCTGTATCCAAGTTTGGGTCATTCCTTGCCCCGCTAAACCTGAGCACAGGTAATTGAGTTTACATGGAGAAAAAAGGGGATTCCGGTAAGGTCCTGCAGTAGGAATGGTCCTGCTGCAGCGGGTGCTGCTATAGTCATGTTCTACTGCATCTTTCAAAAGAGAAATATCACACTTGCCTTGAGGAAAAACCAACGCAAACACATGTCAGAAAACTAAACTATTCCTCTGTTAATAATGGTACACTTGCAGCTCACTTGGAAGAAAAAACATACAAACCCACTGACAGGTAAAGCTTGACAATGGGAAATTTTGGGAACAATCTAGAGAGCGTGAATCCTGATAACAAAGACAAGTCTAGACAATGAATAGGCTGTGGCTCGAGCAGTACAATAAAAGTGATGGACATCATGTTCGCACCCTACAGACACAAAGGACGGGACAAGCCAACTAATCACTAGAGAAAAGTCAGAATGTCTGATGCTATCCAAGGATTTACAGTGTTGCAATAAATATGACTGGTAGACAGGAGTGGCCGCCTGGGAAGCCCAGTGGCTGAGCATTCTTCCTTATGACTATCACCATCACTAACGGTTTTCTCTTATTTGTTCCGGACATGTTAGTGTACATCATCACAGTGAGTCAGTCTTATAGTTCTTTTCCACCACTCATTATTGGTGAAAGCCCCCCCCCCCCCTAAAAAAAAGAAGGTAACGGTAATCACTAAAACATCAAAGAAAAGAGATGGATGCAACCCTTTCCCTCTTTGCACAGATTCACATAGATGCACGCTCTATGTAAATGTATGCTAAGGAGTCCTCCCAAGCACCATGAGTTTAGGCGGAGAATACTGTATCATGTTGGACTGTTGGGAGGGACACCTAGATTCAAATGTCCAATAGGGCATTCTCGAATGTGAGCTGTGGGAGGAGTGCCCAACCCTAGAAAGAAGGTCTTGCTTCATCCTAACCATGCTTGAAAGGGCAGTAAACCTGTACCATTTCAATTATCACACACTGTAAACTTAATACTTCCATTGGCTGGACTTTAAAAAAGTTTTCCTGTTGTCACACAAGAACTTGCCAAAAGAGCCCACAACATGTGGTCTATAACCCCCAGGCAGACTTTTAACATACCTGAAGAGTCGCTGCTGTAAGACTGTGATTTCCCTTTCTTGTTCTTCTTTTTCTTCTCTTTATCAGAGGAAGACTGAAGCTTGTTCAGCTTCCTGAATCAAAACAAAAACAAAAATCATACTGTAAGTAAAATATGTGAGCAGCACATTTTACATTCATTTCAAAATGACCAGTGTAAACTGCAAACACAACTAAAAAATTAAGAATCATTGGTTCATTTGTTCTACTAAAAGGAAGAGTGATTATGCGTCTGTTCACAGTAGCAAAATATTAAACTTCTTCCAGTCTTCAGTACATACATTACACAAAGAGATTTCACACCACAGTACAAAAAATATAATTCCGTCAACATTATGGAAATGAGACTGAACACACATCGACTACTTAGTGTCAGACTTTGCCATGTCATTATATTGATAAGTGAAATATGACAGAGTTTTACACGGAGCAGTCGATGTATGGCCTGATACAAAGATGATAAGTAGAAGAATTAACAAGTCACATTAGCAAACCTACTAATCCCCTATCGCTCTGAAAGATGAATACACCACTACACAAAAAAGGTGGAGAGAGCTCCTGTACTTTTTGGTGGCACCTTAAAAGGCAGACTAATAGCACAAAGATAAAAGAAGGCACAATTCAACATAATATAAAAAACTACCAGAAAGTTTTTTAAGCATCCGAGATTTCAGTCTGGAATTTAAGAAAATGTTCTGAATAACAACATACCTACAGTATTGCTTCTGTTACTTCTCTTTCTGATACTATTGCTGCAATCAAAGCTCAACCACAACTGCCACAATTGCTGTTATTTCTATTGGTGCGAATTCTACAACAGTTACTGCTGACAATCCTACATCACTTGGTCACTCAACTACACACACAGTGAAGTCTGCTTAAACCAAACATGGTTAATCATAAAACAGCGGTAAACCGGAAGAAAATAAAAGCCTGAATTTTTTAAAATTCTATTTAAACAACTTCTCTAAACCGAAAACTTGGCTAAACAGAAGAAAATCTGGCAACCCTGCAGAGTTCCGATGAAGCAAACTCCTCTGTATTAAATTGTCCACCAAAAACAAGAATAACCTGAGACTCTTCCCCACATTCTGATACTGATTAATGCGAGGACACTACTTAATAACCTGAAGCTCTGGTGCCCACAGTACCACTGTGGGCCATTGTTAAAAAAAAGTAGCCTACATCTCTATTATAATCTCTTACATCCATATGTGTGTACACCCATCGAACACTACTGAATATCATCAATTTGTTGTCTTTGCCCTAAGATAAAAGAAACATTAAAAAATCAACTTCTTCTCACAGAGCCATACCATAACAATGCTGATGGAGAACAAAAAAATTGCGCCACATCTTTTCCTACCACTTGGTGGCACTCAGCCAAACAGTGAAAGCCCAGAAGCTAGTGGCTGAAACAATACAAACTTGCACAAAGAAAGCTAATCACTTACTTCAACAGTTTCTTCTTCTGTTTGAGTGAAAGGGACTTGAAGAACTTCACTTCTGGATCCTCCTCATCTTCTTGAGCCTAGATCTTGTGCTGTTTAACAAAAGAGTCAGATGTTACTTCTTTTTTTTTAAGCCATTATATTCGCCTGTTTCTATTTGAGTAGAATATGACCTTGTACTCCGCTTAAATAAAGCAGAAAGAGAGAATAGCAAAATAGCAAATGTGTCTCAATAAAGGGAATCTAAATATTACAGGCCTGTGACTGTTACACAAGGCTCCCTTAGCTAAGCAATAGTGAAGTGAAAAATTTGAATGCTCTACCACAATCATGAAACATTGAATTTCTTTTTATGGTACAGCCTCAAGGGGAATTTTAACCAAAAAAGCCCCAAAAAATGAAAGCAGGAAGAATTTGTTTCCCCTATCCGTATGCCCTGGGGTCATTTTGTACCCCAGGGGTTGTATTGTTCACATTTTAGAATACTTCTTGTCCGAAGATCTCTTTGAAACTTCCAGTACTTCTCAAAAAATCATTTTGACAGACTGCTAAGCAAAGCGTACAAATCGGATTACCGAGTAAATTTCCTCTTTGAAAAGAGGTGGCACAGAGTTCCCCACGTCATATGGATATGATAGTAAAACACGACGTAAGGATAGGGTTAAATAAGTGTCAATGTTCACTGAACACCACCCATTAACACTTTGTTAAGACTCTGCAATCCTAGCAATGTATCAGCAGCAGTAGCAATGACTGATCAGTACTGCAGAACTAGGCAGACATTGAGAGACAAACATTCCACACATTCCAGGGAAAATCTGAAATATACATACATGTCTTTCTGGCTCTGACCCCATCATACGTCCCAACACACTGTCCTTGATGGCAAAGCCATCTTCACGTAGGCCATCCAGTATACTAGAGCTGCTGGTCTCCGCTGTGACAAAGTAAAGAGAATATAAGGGTTAGTGACCTCCAATAGTATCAAATGAATGAATGTAGGCCATGACTACGTCATAATGATATACTAATGAATACCATCTCCAGGTGGGACATCATGAATACAGTTTGAGATGCATCTTTTTGCAGACCTGTAATAGTCCTCAAGCCATGACATCACATAATAGTTATTTTGGTATGACAATAGTTATCAACTTGAATACCATTCTTCAATACAATGTCTCACGTCATAAGAATAGGATAACTTCAATGTTTTCAACCTGAGAGATATTGCTACGATAATTTTTTTTAAAACCTGCGCTTTACACCTATGGCTTTCAACTCTTGAAAAAATAGGTACAAGTTCCGCTGATTAGTTCTTATAGAAAGTAGATAAGAAAATTATTACATTTTATGTTTGAAGAAAGAGAACAAAGAAGCATATCGAAACAATTACAGAGGGACAAAAGAAAAGAAAACAGAGGGAGAGTAAAGGAGTAGGCCTACTTTATAATTCACTAAGAAAACCAAAAAAAAGAAGCTTGTAACAATGAAAAGAGAAACATGAGAACCAGAAGTCGACCAAAGTGGAGCACCCATGAACAACCAAATGAATACAAAGTAATGCAAAAGAGAAATTTATAACAATGGCGGAAAAAAAATTTATAAGCAACACTGTTGAAGAGGAACAGAAAAACAAAAGTATGAAAACAATTACTAACGCATTTCTGGTTCTGCTGTCAAGTTCCTGCTGTAGAGAGGACAGATTTTGTCAGTGTTCACGTGACCCCACTGTCGACACTTGATGCAGCGCACGTTTTTTACCTCAATACCAAACGGCTGGTCCCTGATAGTGTCATCATCCTTCGCATATCTGCAGAAAACACACAGAGAAAACGTTGTAAAATTGAAGTCAGCAAGGGGGGATCAATGGTCAATACTACTAATCATGTTACACGCTTTTGTTCAGAGACATCAAATATGGCTTTATCACGCCTCAATGTCCTTAAGTGAACTGTCAACTCTGGAAATTTAAAAACAGATAAGATCACATTAGAGTCAAGGGAGGCGGTGACACTGGCGAAGAGCACGCACTTCGGGGCTCCAAACATTTCAAACGGATAGGCTACCACACACACACACACACCACATCAGAGTACTCTATCATATAAGCAAATGGAAAGGAAATTAAAAGTATATACAAGACAAGCGACTTCAAAATTTCTTTAAGATAAAAAAAACCCATTAAAAACGTTTTGGAAACCTTTAAGCAACAATTCAAATCATTATAATAACTGCATAACAAAGCACAACAGGAAACAATCAACTTACGCCTCACGGGGAGCGTTGTACTTTCTCTGCCACTCAAACTTCACTTCTTGTTGCTGACGCTCAGACTCCTGCAGAAATATTTCAAACTTAACATTAGAAAAAAAACCCAGTGAATATTTGTTCTTGAGCTATGTAAAACTTCCAAGACTTTGTCACACTTGTCTTAAATCATGAACTTGTTTATTTTTTGCAGTAATGAAAAACAGAAGCTTTCTGTTTTTAATTAAAACAGAATTTTTAGAATTTTACGAAAGACAGATAAATATACAAAGTATTTTCAAAGGGTCATTTTCTTCTGTGAAATGTAGAAATCTAGCTGTGTTTCACAACTTTTTGGGCTTAACTAGCAGAAATACCTTCAAATATGTGAAGTATACATAACAACATACACAGACAATAAATAAAAGGATCTGTATGCACTGTAGTCAAAGTTTAATAAAAACAATAATAATAATAGATAGCATTTGTATAGCTCTATGTGCTTCACAAAACTTACGAAAGATTTGTGCCACTAGAAGACACGAACGAAAACAGAAAAATGGCAGATGAGTGGGAACCAAGAACACGCATTCAGAAGACCTCCTTCATGTGAGAAGCAACAAAACTACTTGAGGAGTTTGACCCCGCCGAGAACAGAGAACCAATCACCAACATCAGCAGCGAACCTCCTTATTGGCAGGCACCAGAAATCACAATAAGGACGAGACTTCTAGACCCTTCCTGTGACAAGACCACACCAGAAGAAATCCTCAGAACTAGTGCCCTGGAGACAGTGGACTCGTATGCTGAAACCCCAACTCATGCATACACAGATGGGTCAGCAACAAACGCTACATGGAATGCTGCATATGGATCCATCATCAAATATTGAAACAACCTTGGAGTTGGAGAGAAGAAGCAGACCCAACTATTCGGCCCATGTGGAACATACAGCTCCAGCTATGATGCAGAGAAAGTTGCCATAGTAAAGACCCTGGAGCAGATCACCCAAGACTTTTTTGAAGGCGCAGTAACACCAGGGGATGTTGTTGTCTTCTCTGACTCAATGTCAGTACTCCAAGCCACCGAGGGAGGAGGAGACAACAGAGGTGACGGGAACATTCTCAGCCTTGTAAAACAGATGGGCACTTCCTATGGCTTCCGGTCACACTGCAGTGGGTGCCTGGCCATTCTGGAGTACCAGGGAAAAAAACTGCAGACCAGCTATCAAAGACTAGAGCAAGCCTGCCCCAGACAGACACAGCCGCCTCTTTACAGGCCTGTAGAGGGATCATCCAAGCCAAAACCAAAGACGAGTGGCTAAACAGATGGGCCAACGCAGAAACAGGAAGATCTCTCTTCGGGTACATGGACAAACCAAACCCCAAAGACTCATCGAATCTCTTATGTAGAGCTGATCAGACTTTGATCTTCAGAGCGCGCACAGGACACTTACACACCAACAAGCACATAAATAGAATTAACCCCATGTGGGAACCCCATTGCAGACACTGTGACTACCACGAGGAGACCGTTGAACATCTTCTCCTTCACTGCCTAAACCTGGCAGTTTTTCGACGCAGGCTCCAACACACACCTACAGACTTACAAAGCCTGCTCTACCCTGGCGTTGACCAGATGGCAAGGACTTGTGGTTACTTGAGGGAGGTACTGCGCTGCCAAGAGCGAAATGCTCGCAGCTAAAGGGATTTGAAAACAACAACAACAACAACATGGCTTCACAATCTATACTATTACCCCAGCAGACCTGAGAGCATTCTGAAACAACTTCAACTTCCTGGGAAAAACACAGCGCAAGCAGCTATTTATAGGCGCTTAAATACTAACATATACTGACAAGATGTTAATCTTAATGTCATTCTAAAATGAAATGTATAGAAATGCCCCAAACATTTTCAACCCAGAACCACTGCACACAATTTAGGGGAAACAAATCTATGAGTCTCAAATATCAGGTCAAGCACACATGTGATATAAATAAATCCTTGGCTTTACTACTGTAGATTGATAATAATTTGTACAAATGTCTGATTGAGAACATTCCTTTCCTGCCAAAAAGAAACAATTTCAAAGCTGCAAATTGTTTTGTTCATTATGTCAGGCTAAAATGGCATGCAGCCCAAGAACCACAGACATGTATTTTAGGAATAGATTACACTCAGTGGATAATGAAAATTACTTACAAAACCAATCAACAGCATCATTTGTCGAGTACATACATGTTGTCTATGGGGTAAGATAACATTCCATCACTTTTTACCTTTCCTTTCTGACTTTGAATAAAATAATGTAGTGTAATAAACAATTTAAAAAAAAAAAAAAAGAAATTTTAAATCTGGCACGCACCTAACAAAATCAGTGTATGTATAATATATTTCACTATACGAATTTCGCAGTATATCAAGGGAGGTCAACGAAGTTGGACAATCGGGTCTATATTTTACATGACTCATGTCCCCTATGCCGCGCCAACATACATGATGCGAGTTGAGTTCACAGTCGCACTTTCACAAACACAATTTTGCAGACTTTGATTTTTTTTCCGTTGATTCTTTTATCCATCTCTGCTGAAATAGCAGTTTTTTTACCCAGATTGAAAAGTCTTTCCACTTCTTTTGCTCCACCATGATTCATTCTCTACTACAACTTCACTTATCCTTCATCCTTTACTGTACAATACCTGCAAGCTGCTGTGTAGTAGAGCGGTGCCCATTCATTCTGCTAGTCAATAGTCATGATTTTTGCGCAAATTACAGCTAATGGAAACTTGGCAGAGCCACTCGAGTGCCTTGTGATTTTTTAGATAATGGATTTTGACATCAGTATTTTCAGCCTATGGTAAAATTAGAGCAAATTATGAATACCTAAAATCGTCGAGGTAAATAAAGTAATACATTTGTCATTGATAATTATGAGACAGAGTGATAAATGGAGCCAACAAGAGTTATAAAATAAGCCTGTAAGAAGTATTCATCACTAGTCAAAATTTACTAGTCACACCATGAATAGCTGAAGAGACCATGGCTTTGAAGCCAAGATGGTTTTGTGTACACTGGCACAATTAGCTCTCCAAACCCGATTCAAAATTTGAAGCATTACGAATGTTGGTGTGACGCCATTGAATCATAGCTTGCTATGAAATGAAATGAGAGATAATGAGTACCGTAAGCCATGCTAGCTTAAAATACACTCATGCTTGCTCCTGTTTATTATTCCCCCTCTTCCCTCCACTCATGTCATTGTCACCTCTTTCTTTGTAATCTTAGAACAGTGTTTCATCCCCTCCCATGCTGCACAAGCTGCAACCACAGTCTTTGAACAGGCAGATGCACACTGAGCGGAGAACCACTGGATGAATAGCTCTATCAAAAGTGAATAATTGAATAGCGAATGTTGAGAAAGAACAGGGAGCAACAATACCAGATGTGTGTCTTCACACAACCATAGACTCCCCATATAATCTTATATGCAGTTGTGAGTGCCGTAAAACTCTTACCAAGCCAAAACTAAGACTACCCATGCGCAAATGAAGTGTACAGGCAAGATCTATCGCTAAACAATTTTGTGATGCAAGCAATTGATTGACAAGTCATTGGCTTACTAAATTATACTGACCAATCAACTGCAGGCAGATCTCGGGCATATGGGGCACAGCTGGCTGAAGGTAGAGAAGATCGCCCAGAACAGAGACAGGTGGACAGCCCTTCTTGGCAGCCTATACCCAATGCCAGGGTGAAAGACGCAGGAGGTGACGATGATGATGATGATGATGATGATGATGATGATGATGATGATGATGATGATGATGATGATGATGATGATGATGATGATGATTTTTAAAAATTTCTTTAATGGGCCCGAGGACTCCATGAAGAAATTTTCGAGCAAGAGTATATAGAGCTTCCCCATTGGCTGTGGCTGTCTTCATTGAGAATAGTACTCCCCATCGTGAAGGGAATTGCTTGCCACTTTGAGTACCTGATGATGATGATGATATTGATGATGATGACGATGATGATGATGATGATGATGATGACAATGTTGATGATGATGATGATGATGATGATGATGATGATGATGATGATGATGATGATGATGATGATGATGATGATGATGAATCAACTACATGATAGAAAAAGGCTTCAGTCATGAGAAAATTTTCCTTGATTATTTTCAGTCTCCCAGTCTGGTGCCTCAAATCATTTTTTTCCCCCCGTTTGCATTCATTTTTATGGTGTTTTTCCAAACATGAAAGATAAAAATTAAATTCCTGGCTTGCTGCCATTTTCCTGGTTGAGTGTAAACCCTACACAGAAGTAACCAAACCTATCTTTTTATTTTACCTCGTTTTTCTTCAGACCGGGTGGTGCATCATACAAGATGCTCAGTCGAAGCTTGGCCTTTTCATCTCCAAGGAGGGCTCTGTAAAACAGCAAAAGAAAATATTGTTAAAATAAACATAGTCCTCCACTGAATTTCAAACCACCATATTGTTTTTAGATACAATTAATAGAACAGTAAATGGTATATGGCGTGTACTAGGAGGGATAGTACCCTCTGACGGGGGGGGGGGGGGGGGGGCAGTCCCCCCCCCCGGGTGGCTCTCAGGCTTTGGTTCCCACTGGGCATGCAACTCTCACTTGTGGCTCCCCGTAGCTGTTAGCAAAACGACAGCGGCCATACCACGGGCAACTGCTTCAATTGGCATGCCAGACCTTGTGAGGGTAGCCAACGGGTCCTAGACCCTCGGTAATTTTTCTTAAGGGTTTGCCTACCCTAGCATGTGAAGATTGGTTTCAAGGCCGATGAAGTGGATGAGATCAACAGAAAATCTAACTGTCTTGAAGGCAATACCAGCAAGTGCTGTGGAGCGCATAAGTGCAAGGACAAGGCCCCAAAGAAGTTCTGGCCATCCACTGCAGCCTGGCAGTCTCCAGGCGTAACGGTCTCCGTGCCACTGGGTATAGGCTTCCTAGGTCGAGAGAGTGCAACGAAAGCTCGACTTTAAACAAAGTCACGCACAGGTAGGCCTATGTTCCACAGCTCATCACCATCTTACTACTTACAGAGAGAAGGTAACTATCAGAAGAGAGAGGAGACAATCGACCACCCCAACCACGACATTCCATTGTCCCCACTGCAACAAACATTGTACAGAGGAACTCAGATTCAACAAGCTCGGATTCAATGAGAACTCGAATTCAATGAGAGGAGATAGATTCCCCCTTTTTATTCTTTCTTTAAAATCAATAAAAGTAACCCGGATTCAACGAGCTCTTAAATCAGCAAGCTCGGATTCAACGAGGTCGCTTCCAGGGGTAACAGCCCCCACAGATGTGGCTTCCCTTATTTTTCTCCCAGAATGAACTTTACCTATTCCCGAAAACCATCCATTGCACCTGCATCGTGACCTATTGTTCACTTAGCCGATTGAATGCGACCGATCAGCGGCCTTTTTTCGTACCAACACATGCATTGTTGACACACGCACGTGAATACTCTGGCGTGTGTCGGGGTCGGATGGGTGGCCTGCACACGTGTGACTGTGTCGGGGGGGGGGGGGGGCACCAGCGGTCCGGGCATTGAGTGTCGCAGATACAAACGCATCACACAGTCTTTTTTCCCCCTCAACAACTGATCATTATTATATAAGCTAGTATTGGCATAGATCTACATAATGAATTGAGCGTTGGTCTATGGTATCAAAAGTTGCCGTGTGCTAGGCTCTGCACAGCAACACAACTTTTTGGCAAACAATCGAGATGACATAGGCCTGCATTTGAACGAATTGGTCTTTTTTTACACAGCTCATAATATATGCAGGCATTTCAGGCACTACTTGTTACTTTTCTTTACACATTATATGCTCAGTGCCTGTAATAATCTACACAAAACCTCTTGTTTACTATAACGAACACTCGGATTCAACAATGTTTTAGGTCAGGCCCAGCGACCTCATTGAATCCGAGTTCCACTGTATATATCAAACTGATGGGAGGCAGGATTTCATCGTCCCCTTCGGCAACGAAAGACTATCTACCAATCGAACCGTGACTGGCTGATGACTACACAAAATTACAGGCTTTTTAAAAATATGCCTTGCTCGATTTCAGAAAAAGCAAAAAAACCAGACTAGCTATTTTGAGTATCAATGCTCCTTATCAAAAGAGACAAGTTTCAACTCCCTTGAGCAAAACTAGATGGCTAGTGCCAGAAAACAAGTCAATGAGTAAGCAACATGTTTTTGCATTCATAATACTACATGTATTAAATAGTCAAAATTGTCTACTCTAAGACAGCCACCTGATGTTGAGAAGAAAAGTGGCTGTATTAGACAGGTGGCCATCTTACACAGTGTCATTATAGTGTACAAAATACATGAAAGGGAGGAAATGGGAAGTGGCCATTTAGGTGATTGTCTCTTATAAGTGACTGTTAGAGAGGGTTCAACTGTATGCATCTCAAAAGCAGAGAATCTTTCCACTCTACTAAGTTCTAGCCATGACAGTAAAGCATACCTGTTGCTCAGGACATCCTGTTCTTTTTTATACTGCGCTAGCAAGTCCTCTAGCTGTTTCTTTTCAAATGTTGTTTTCTGTTCTGCAATCCATTTCTAAATGAAAGATAAAGAAAAACAAAACAGCATTGAGATTAAATTTAGACCATTGCCTAAAAAACTAAAGTCATTTTAGAGACCTAAATCTACCAACATCTAATAAAAATAAAAATTTGGCCATCTTTATGTCTTCGAACGTTCGGGAAAATAAAGTTGAACTCTATTTCTCCTAACGGTTTCCGTTCTCGAGATTTGTTGATAATTATAAGCGAATGGAGTGGCCCGTGTGTGTGTGTGTGTATGTGTGTGTGTGTGTGAGTGTGCATGTGTATGTGTGAGTGTGAGTGTGAGTGTGCATGTGTGTGTGTGTGTGTGTGTGTGTTTTGTTTGTTTGTTTGTTTGTTTAGTATAGGGTTTTACGGCGCTCGCAACTGCATAAGGTCATATGAGCGCACGGGACACACCTAATACTTTTTCGTTGGTAGGAAATTTTGAATTTTGCCCGGGTGGCGGCCGAAGCCTACTCTTATCGATTTTAGACCACCAAGGGATCTTTAACGTGCGCAACTTGCACACGGGCCCTCCGAGATTTTTCGCCCTTGTCCGAGAAGGCTAGGTGTAGATCTTTCCTACCAGAAGATCAGGGGTGTGGCAGAAAGAGAGCAGTTAGGAGGAGCCAAGGAGTAGCAGTAGAAAGGCTGCAGAAAGAGTCAGGAGCCCAGAGGAGGGGGCAAAGGAGGTGAGGGGGTGGGGGCAGAAAGTGGAAATGAAAGCAGACAACAGAACATTGTTAGAGATCAGGAAAGGATGTGAAAGGAGACAATTTTAGAGAAGAAAATTTTTTGGTCGCTACCCGGAATCGAACCCGGGACCTTTGAATGAGAGGCCAACACCTTTTCTCGCCCCCCACCGAAGAACTTGTGTATTTGTGTGATTGTTATTGTTTGTCGGGTGGGGCCCGTGTGTTTTTGGTTGAAAGGTGTGAATGGAAGTTGGGGGGGGGTTGCATGAAGGATTTTAGTTTTTGCTGGGTGACTGAATGGAAGTGGGGGGGAGGGGGGGGGGGGGTTAAAATGAAGGATTTTAGTTTTTGCTGGGTGACTAAATGCAAAATAGGTTACTGCCAAGGTCAAGCAGTCTTGTTTTCTTGCAATACCTTTTGAAGGTATTTTTTCAAATGAAGCAGAGTCCGGGAACGTTGCCCCATTCACAACTGAAGTAGGCCTATCTGAATATTCAGACTTTTAAAAATCTCTTGCTCTAGAAATTGAATTCGATGCAAAAAAAATGCTTCTTCCCAGTCCTCGCAGAATGGCAGAATGAAAGATGACGCCTAAATCTCGCAAATAACCAAAAAATCTCGAGATCGGAAACCATTCAGAGAAATATAGTCACTTCGTAAAATTTTAAGCGAATGTACGAACACAACTAGAATACATCTACTCTACCAAATACAAGCCAAGTCTCCAAATTGATGCACAAAATGATATTATAGCCTCTATGACTATGATGCTTGGCTTACTTATTAGGAGCCTACTTATTAATTTAAAAGAGTCTTTTAGTATCTATAGACTTAGTTCAGAAAGTGCCAAATAACGGCAGCTCACTCTTCTTGACTTCACAACCTCACTTCACCTTCTATCATCACTTACACTACTTTCACACTCAGTCTCCCTACTTACTTAACTTTTAAATTTTTGGGGACTCTCGTGGCCTAGAGGTTTTAAAGGTGTTGTCCTCTCATTCAAAGGTCCCGGGTTCGAATCTGGGTAGCGAGCGATAAATTTTCTTCTCTAAAATTGTCTCCTTTCACCTCCTTTCCTGCTCTCTAGCAATGTTCTGTTGTCTGGTTTTATTTCCACTTTCTGCCCCCACCCCCTCACCTCCTTTGCCCCCTCCTCTGGGCTCCTGACTCTTTCTGCAGCCTTTCTACTGCTACTCCTTGGCTCCTCCTTAATGCTGTCTTTCTGCCACACCCCTGATCTTCTCGTAGGAAAGATCTAGACACTTAGCCTTCTCTGACAAGGGCGAAAAATCTCGGAGGGCCCGTGTGCAAGTTGCGCACGTTAAAGATCCCTTGGTGGTCTAAAATCAATATGAGCAGGCTTCGGCTGCCACCCGGGCAAAATTCAAAATTTCCTACCAACTGAAAATATTAGGTGTGTCCCGCGCGCTCATATGACCTTATGCAGTTGCGAACGCCGTAAAAACACTTAGACCTAATCTAGATCTAGAATAGCCTAGATCTAGATCTAGATCTACCCCAAAAAATAATCGAAGTGGCTAGCCGTACTTAAGTACGGCTAGACTGAGAGTCTAGCCGTACTTAAGTACGGCTAGACTGCCAGTCTAGCCGTACTTAGATCTAGGTTTGGCCCAATCGACTCAATCCTGTTAAGTACACAGGTCTCATTAGATCTAGATCTAGTAATTATTCAGGTTCAAATACATGCAAGTCAGTAAGGCACCTTTTGGTTTTGTCTGAAATACAAATACTTTAGGCATTGCAAACTAAAATTTTCATTTACAATTCAGCCATCAATAATAAGTACGGCTAGACTGACAGTCTAGCTGTCCTTAAGTACGGCTAGCCTGGCTGTCTACCCGTACTTAAGTACGGCTAGACTGCCAGTCTAGCCGTACTTATCTTAGGCCCTATTTACATTAGAAAAACAGGAGGTTTAAAATACATGCACTGTCATTAAGGAACCTGGTTTTGTCTCAAATACAAATACTTTAGGTACTGCACACCAAAAATGTATATTTACAATTCAGTAGGCCTATTTTTTGTAAATGGTCAGTCTAGCCATCATATTAAGAATAAGTACGGCTAGACTGTAAGTCTAGCCGTACTTAAGTACGGCTAGACTGTGAGTCTAGCCGTACTTAAGTACGGCTAGACTGCCAGTCTAGCCGTCATTAAGTACGGCTAGCCTCTTCCAAAAATAATAATAATAATTTAGGCGTCATTTTTTTTGCGGCCACCTCTATTCTCACCCGGAGTGAGAATAGTGCAGGCGAGTCTTGTAGCTATTCTCACCCGGTGCGCGTTCACCAAATTTTGCGTTCACCCTAAACCACAGAATTCTACACTGTGATAACAGAAAAATTGTAGAATTCTGTGCCGTGAACAAACGTTCCATTACAACTGTAGCCTACTAAAAGCGTACAATTTTGTCTGTGGGCAGTGGAGAGAGAGAGAGAAAGAGAGAGAGGAGTAGCGCGAGAATTTCCGGGCAAAACAAAATGGCGACCCGCGTAGTTCGGCTCGATTCGAAAAGTTAAATAGCCGTAGCATCTTTGTAGACAACCAAATTAATTTACTTTTGTGTTTTAACATCATTTTTTAACTTTGTTTTGGTCAATTTGATCGTCCAGACTGATAGACAGTATTCAGAAAGAGACAGAGAGAGAGAGAAGAGGGGAGGAGTTGATCTTGCGAGAACTTCCGGGCGGGTGAGAATAGCCACGTTCTTTTTTTTTTGCATCGAATTCAATTTCTAGAGCAAGAGATTTTTAAAAGTCTGAATATTCAGATAGGCCTACTTCAGTTGTGAATGGGGCAACGATATATAGATCTAGATCTAGATCAAGATTCTAGTCTTGAGTCTAGTTCTCGAGTCGATTTCCTCTCTCCCCAATCAAAACCAAGTCCAAACATTCAATTTACTTACACGTTTCTGGTTTTCTTTATTTGACGGAAGAAAAAACTTTTTGGCCATATAATCATTAAAACCTTTTCCCATCTTGAGTTTTACAAAGAGCGACTCATAGAAAACACAACAGTCAGTCCTTGATCCACTACAGTATTATACGGTAATGTGTTCCAAAGGTAAACAAGTCGTATTTTAATCGTTTGTTTTTGTTATCATTCTAGCCGGAAGTTGAACGTTAAACCGAAAATAGATGTTCGGTTTCATAGGCGGTGTCTACTCTGAAATATTATCTGTTGCCAGATATCAGCTATCATGGATGTAAAAACCTCTGTATCTTTCATTGTCCCTCCCCCCCCCCCTCCCCCCCCAAAAAGGGAGAGGAAAGAAAAAGAAAAGGAAAGGAAAAAGAAGATAATTTCTTTAAAGTGGTTCTTTGGCTACTTGAGACGATGAAAGTACTAAAGACCACCATTGTGTTTATTCACTACTTCTCAGCATTTTTTATTTTTGTTGTTGTTGCTGTTGCCCTTGCCAAAATTGCAGGCGCTAACAGAGCGGAATATGCAGGAAAATCTGCCAATTCATTCATTCATTCTTTCGTTCATTTTTGCCCGGTTTCCATTATACATTGTGACGAAAAATTACTACAGTATACAACATTCTGTTGTAAAATGTATTTTTAAGGCGAACCAAACAGCAGCTTAGTGGGCCGTGAGATCAAGAAGAGATTATTGCGATGATTTGGACATACACACAGAAAACTAACACACAATATGACAAGACACAGTCTAAGATGGAACCCCCAGGGTCGGGGAAAGAGAGGAAGGCCAAGATCCAACCGGGAGCGAGATCTAGAAGCAGATCTCCGGCATATGAGACCAGACTGGCAGGAGGTGGAGAGCCCATTCTTGGTGGCCTATACCCGATACCAGGGTGAAGAAGTGAATGGACAAATGATGCAACATTCTGAGTGTGCATGAATTGTACATGTCTCAACTCATCGGATGCACTTTTGTATTCTTGCTTGTGGGTGTTCTAAAGAACTTTCAAAACAAACATTCATGTCTTTATTTTTAGGACTTCCAGCACTCGCACATTAATCATTCAGGCCCACACAGCATATTTCAAACACCTGTTGTCTAAGAATTAAATCTGTCTTCTCCTCCTAGTTCTTCTAGTTTTCTTCCTGTTCTTATTTTTCCTTATTCTTCTTCCCAACTGTATCCCCATAGCTTTAAAGCCATCCCACACACACGACACACTGTATGTGCTACGATGGACATTTCGTGACAATGTGGTATTGTGGTGATCTATGAAAAATAAAAACGACTATTATCAAAGTTTATCACCGTTAATGATAGCTCTTCAGAAAAGAGGTCACGAACATTATGAATCCACAAACAGAATCGCCCACTGTTTGCAAACTGCGAAGCGTGTGGAAAGCTGGACGCAGGGGTCCTAACTCATGTAGCTCTGTACTTGGTGCCACACACTGCGAAAGTGAGAAAGCAGTCCACTGTATGTTTGTAGCTCCAACAAAAATAGCTAACAACGATATTGTTTTCGAGAACATTGTCCAGGTGGTAAGTTTCACTGACACAAGAGCCTCATCATACCGGTAGATCTACTGGTTTGTGTGTTTGTTTATAACTGTAGTTGACTAGAGATCTAGGATCTAGATTCTAGATCTAGATTGTATTGTAGTTGTAGGCCTACTGTACTCAACTGACCGAGTACTGTTGACAGTTGATCTGGAGTCTAGAGATAGATTCTAGATCTAGATATCTAGATCTAGAATCTAGATCTACATCTAGAGATCTAGATTCTAGTGCCTACTGGAGGATAGTTTCCTTTGACAATACTAAATTACTATAGATCTAGATCTAGAATCTAGTAAAGTCTCAATAACAATACACTGAATTGCCGCATGCCGAATTGACCATGGGGGAGGACTTTCATAACAACGAGCAACCCCACTATGAGACAGAGTTAATAAATAGAAAGAGGGGTGTAGGGTTTAAGTTTCATGAAGCTGCAACGAGCATCTAGCACACCTCTGTGATTGGCCCAAATTTATATAGATGACGTATTTCCGCCATCCATTTTTGTCGTCTTCTGGGGTTTCCCCCAAGACTCTTGCTGTAACTTGTCAAGATCTCGCCATGTTTCTTTGTTTTTTTTTGTGTTTTTTAAAATTACTTTTTGTGTTATCTTATAAACAATCTCAGCAATTCTCATAAGTTGTAAGTTGTACACACACACACACTACACACGCTCACACAATACACACGCTCACACAGTACACACACACACAAGCATGCACACACACACACACAGCCCAAGCAGTCGGCAATGAAACCTAGTGACGTAGCCCACCGCACTCTAAGAGGCAAAGTGAGCCCACCACGGTGAGAGCTAGTCAACTGGCGAGGGAAGTCCCGGAAGATGACAAAAATAGATGGTGGAAATACATCGTCTATTATAGTCTATATTTGAGCCAATCGTAGAGGTATGCTAGGTGTTCGAGCTTCGTGTGTTTAGGTTAGGGTTCTTGGTCACTTCTTTCTTGTGTTTGTTGGGATGGTCACTTATTATCATGGAAGTCGTTCCAACCATGGCATGATCTTGATTCTATATATGCACAGCCTACATCAGACTCTCTAAAATGTTTCATTATAATTAATAACCCTGTGACTGTGATGGATTCCTGTTCCAGGATAATTCCAGGTCTGTCTATTCAAACTTATTGTTGTATTTGTAGTTCTACGATCAACCACGTTGTTGTCCCTACTTGATCTTCAAATCCAGATTCTACAAAGACTCATTACTGTCAATCAATATCTATAATATCTTTAGGCAGAGCTTGGAAGTTAGATCTTACTGAAGTTACTTTTTCTGTATCTTACCATGGCTTGTAGTCATTAGTAAATAGTAAGGCTCTGTGTCATCATAACTGAGAATTTTATGATCAGTCAAGTTACGCACCCTCGTCCTACGTCCTATACTATGACACAGAGCAGGGTACCCCTAATTTCATTCTCTTATTAAATTGCGAAGTGAATGCAATGACAGAATGTGAAGATTGCTGCCAAACCCTTAAGAATGACTCGCTAAACCCCTGGGGTTCAATCAAACCCAAGTTAAGAAACACAGAGCTCTGGTCACTAGTCTGACTTAATGATAGGCTTAGAACCTTCTATCTTTATTTTTCTGCCTTGTAAGAAGGCGCTCTTCATTGAGTCTTGACATTTTCACAGTCTGGTCCTGGTTTATTTTTTTATAAATCTCGTCCTATTCTATATATATGCTGAGAAATGGTTCTGGGGTTGAATTTTTAGATTCACGAGAAGGGGCTGAGTTCTGATTGTTTACTGCAAGATGAGTCCTGTATGTAGCTGAGATTCAGCTCATTATTTCCAACTCTGGGCACTTTCACCTTGTTGCTCAAGTTGTCTTTGGATTTCACATTTGAGTACGAGCCTCAAACAAGAAGACATCAATGTTTTCCAATAGTTCTATATTCTATATGATGATTATCTTACATGATTTTACCCTTAGAATCTTGCGTGTGTTTTCATATAGATTCTATGTTATGTTTAATGTTTTAGGTCCCCACAGAAACTTATTTGTTGAGAGTCTGAATTATTAGTTTACACTCATGAATGGGAGTCATGTGAGCCATGTTTGTTTACAAAATTTGTGGCTCTTGTTTCTTGCTTACACAGACCACGTGTTGATAATTGTATATATGTTATTGCAAAAAGTGTGTGGATTCAAAATGCATGATCACGTTACCTGCACCTGTACTCTGATCATTAATTCGTTACAGTTCACAGTTATTTTGTGCTATAAATGCGTGTAAAAATGCATGGTTTGATTTTTTTGTAGCTTGCAAAGGCCTCTGATTTACTGTACCAGTGATCTTTTACTCTTGATGTTACACTACATGTCTAAAAGTAGTCTCAGCATTTTCGACTGTTTGTTTCTTTGACCTCACAAAGGCATTTAACACCATCTCTGCCATTGAGACCTGTAGAAAGTTATAGAGAGATTCAGATGCCCACCTAAGATCTTCAACTTGGTGAGACAGTTCCATGATAGCCTTGCAGGCCTGGGTCAAGAGCCATGGAAAAATATTGGAGCCTTTCCTTCTCACTACTGGTGTGGTGCAAGGCTGCACACTGGCTCCAACTTTTTTCAGCATCATTTTCTTTGTATTGTTGCCGGAGGCTTTCACTTCAGGTCTCTTCCTTCAGGCGGGATCATTAGGTCCAGAACTTATGTGCGTGGTGCACGATTCCTGTCAAAGTTTAAGACTGAAAAGGCTGAAACGGTTCTGGTATGTGACCTCATGTTTGTTGATGACTGTGCCCAGTTGTCACTTGATGAGACCAGCATGCAAAAGAATGTATGGATTCTTTCTCCGGGGCATGTGACAATTTTTGGCTCACCATCATTACAAAACTGAAATCCTCCACCAACCTGCTCAAAAGCACAACAAACATCACTTCCCCAATCATCAAAGTACATGATAGCCAGCTCAGTGGAACATTTTACCTGTCTGTGGTAGCTAGCAAGGTCTGTAACTCCTCTTTATCCTTGGATGTTATAAGATCATCATCAATCCTTGATGGACGAACTATTATTATACCTGTTTGTTTCTTTACTCTCATATACCAAATTTTGCTTTTCTCTTCTTTGTTTGTAAAAAAAATCAGGGCCCTTGTTTTCTTATACCCTTTTAGTTGCTCCTCTTTTTCTCCTCCGCATCCTGCGCCTGGTTTGGTTGGGGTTTTTTTAGGGGGGGACGTTTTTTAAAATCCTGTTTCTCTTTGCCCACTTGAACTTTTGACCAGTGTGTTCTTTGTCTTCTCTTGTATCTTTTTCCTTCAACATTCTGTTGATTGTCTTCCTGTTCAGGTGTGCACTTTCGTGAACAGATGGTCTGTTATTCTTTTGAGTGCATCCAGTGTTTCAATCTGTTCCTGGAAAATTGTGGCTGTTAAGTGATGAAACCATGTCATTAAATGGTAGATCATCCATAGACTGTACATTTTATAGATAATGAGGAAACCAATCAGTAGACTACTGCCCTCCCCCCC